CAATCTCAAACTCTTAGGCTTAAGTGATTCTCTTGCCTCAGCCTCCCATATAGCTGGGACTACAGGCACTGGCCACAATGCTCAGCTATATTTTTTGTTGCAGTTGTCATTGTTGTTTGGTAGGCCCAAGGCGGGCTCGAACCTGCCACCCTTGGTATATGCAGCTGACACTGTACCTACTGAGCTACGGGCGCTGCCCAAAGAAAAAATTTTTAAAAAAATCATCAACTCCACTTACTTTTTTTTGTTTGTATTTTTAAATCTTTTCCCACCTACCTTTAATGGAATTAAGTTATAGCATAACTCTACATCCAATTCCATAAATCTCACAAGCCTCATACATCGCTTAAAATTTTGCCAATTATTATTAAATGATCAGCCTGGAACTTCAAATCAATCCTCAACACATGCTTTACTTGTTTTTAGTGAAATTATTTTTTCTTTAAAAGTAAAACAATGATTTTTAATGGGAACCAGGGGTGTGGTTACAATTACATAGTCCAACACAAAAACCCAGGGGTGAGCAGGAATTGAAGGTTACAAAATAACAAGGGTAATGCTAGGTACAGAAAAATAATTTTATCTTTCCATCTAACAATAAAGGAAGGATTCTGTGTGAAAAATACACATTTATAGAAAATTTTTGTTATTTAAGACACTATACCTCCTTTACAGTCATTCCCTCCATTTCCAGGTGGTGCTGCTGATTCTTTAGTATCGGTTGTTATGTTCCCTACATCATTTTCTTCTAAAGGCTATTGAAAAAGAAAAATTACAATTTCTCAAACCAAGGTGCTGCACATAAATATATAATACGAATTCAGTTTAGGCAGTGGTAAGCCTATCTTCCCTATTACTTACTTACCTCATCATCTTTTGCTGTAGAGACTGCTGGGAGCTGTTGATTATTACAGACTCTGCCATCTTGCACTGCACTGATATCCAAGCTCATTTTGGGATTATAAGTAAGTGGATAAAGAGATTCAGGAAGATGCTTATATTCTTGGGCACACTGCAATATAATGGTGTGCTTTAAAACAGAACTAAAAATATCTTAATGAATAGAAGATTTTAAGAAGGATAAGGACAATCAATACATTATAGTATTATAAGATGGCAAAAGTTCACAAAATTAAAGTTTTAAAAAGTAGTTTACACTGAAAAATTCTTATGATACAAATGACTAATTATCTTCACTTTTTAAATATCAATTCTACCAAAGTATACAATCTAATTCTATTTCTCTGCTTTTGCCAAGTTATCGATTACACTGCAGAATATACGGGGCAACGGAGAGCACAGCTCTAAACTGTACTGGTATGTTAAATTAATTTTCCTCACATTACAAAATCTCCATTCGTATCATTTTTTTTGAGAAAAAAATCTCAATCTCACTGTCATGCAGGCTCGAAAGCCATGGCCTCAGCTTAGCCCACAGCAACTTTAAACTCCGTTCAAGCAATCCTCCTGCCTCACCCTCCAGAGCAGCTGTGACTACAGGCACCCACCATAACACCCAGCTAATTTTTCTATTTTTAGGAAAGATAGGGTCTCATTTTGCTCATGCTGCTCTCAAACTCTGGACCTCAATGATCCTCCCGCCTCAGCCTCCAGAGTGCTGGGTGAACTACCTTACCTAGCCTCATTCTATCATGTTTAATTAGTTAAAGGAATTGGGAGAATCAGAAAGAGTATCCATTAAAGATCTGTTAAGTATTTAAGGACTAAAAGGTTTTAAGTTTTTGATGGCAAAAAAAAAATGAAACGTATACAGTTTAACAAGATTATCAAACTTGTTTCTATATACTGAAACTCTTAAGATTGTGCTCTGAAAAAACATTTTTACGCAGTTCCAATTAACAGAGAAGAGAAAAAAGGGTTGCTTACATCTAAAAGCCAGTGTTCTGAAACAATGTGTATTCCTTTTTCTTTTACAGATTTATATTCTCGATTAGTGTCATTCGGCCGCCCTTGATAGATGAAATGAGTCACTGTTTCATCAAAACTCCACCTGTAACATTGAAATATAAATAAAGAACTAAGAGAAATATTCATCTTAGTTTAAGATGATCATTATTCATTATGAACAGAATATTCTGACCATAACAAACCTTTCAGAATTAAAATAAGCAAAAACATTAAAATGATAGACTCTATTATTTTCATTAATTTTATGCAACATATACTGTAGGCTATACATGTAGAAAGAGGTTTAGAAGGGTATTCTTTAAAATATTGCTTTCTTCTGTATACTTTCTTGAATTGTTTTAATTCGCTTGTATAATATCATTTTATATTAATATTAAAGTACAGGTGGGTACTTTGGGAAGCAGAAGCAGGTGGATCACCTGAGTTCAGGAGTTTGAGACCAGCCAGAACAAGAGAAAGACCACACCTCTACTAAAATAAATAAATAAATAAATAAATATAGCCAGGTGTTGTGATGGCGCCTGTAGTCTCAGCTATTTGGGAAGCTGAGACAAGAGGATCACTTGAGCCCAAGAGTTTGAGGTTGCTGTGCGCTATAATGCCATAGCACTTTATCCAGGGCAACAGAGTGGACTCTGCCGCAAAAAAAAAAATAATAATAGTAATTAAAATACAAAAAAAGGTACAGGTGGTCCCAGGGTTACAGAGGAGGTATGTTCCTGAGAGCGTCTTTAGGTCAGATTTGTATGTAACTTGAATCCCTGAAGAACATCGCATATATGGTAATAATAATCATACTATAATGGGTCATATGTGGTAATAATAATACAGTGTAATACTGTAATAATATTAATACCCCTGTACTGTAATAATAAGCTATGCAAACTATTGTGTTCTTTCTTTTGTTTCCTAGGCCAATAGGAATGCTTATTTTAATCTAACCAAATCAATAACAACCTTTCCATATTGATAATTAATCCACTATGCTTCTTAGTAATAACTGATGCTTTCACTGAAACACTGGCTTTCACATGTTCCATTATTCTCACTTTATCCTTCATAATTGTTCCAATAGTCAAGTGCCCTGAAGCCTAATGTTTACCTGATAAATTATGGCATCTAGCCTTTCTCCCAATAATTCATTATTTCTGCTTTCATTTCCACTAATCATCGTAATCATCTTTTTCTTCACTGCAGGCTCACCTGGGCTTGCTGTAGACTTTTGCTTTGGAGGCATGGTCATAAACGCAAACACTCACAAAATCAAATAAAAAAGTTAAGACGAAAGTGATGTTATCAGTGATAGCTGATAGCTGATAGCTGTCAGCTGATAGCTGTCAGGCTTGGCACCTGTGGCTCAAGTGGCTAAGGCGCCAGCCACATACACTTAAGGTGGCAGGTTCAAATCCAGCCCGGGCTGCCAAACAATGATGGCTGCAACCAAAAAAAAAAAAATACCCAGGCATTGTGGTGGGTGCCTGTGGTCCCAGCTACTTGGGAGGCAGAGGCAGGAGACTCGCTTGAGCTCAGGAGTTGGAGGTTGCTGTGAGCTGTGATGCTACAACACTCTACCCAGGGGGACAGCTTGAGGCTCTGTCTCAAAAAAAAAAAAAAAAAAAGACTAGCTGTCAGCATACAGATGTTGCACCAAGGAACTGCTTATGACACTTGGGTTTGTTTACATATGCAGAAGACTAGTTTCCGAATTACTAATTTAATTATTTAATTATACTTATACTTATGGAAGACTAGGGAGCCTGAGGAGTCTTGGAGGCCCATTCATAACTATAACACCGTAAGCTGGGTTGTCTAACTGCCTATATTTTCCAGTTAATAAATAGCGAAGTCTCTAGTCTGTCTTCCAGTTGTTTGCAGTCACTATATATTGTGTGCCCCACAACAGACTAGTTTACACATCATTATCTCACTTTACAGATGTATTTTACACATTATTATCTCATCTATTTCCTCACACCTTGCTCAGGCTGGTTTTGAACTTGTGAGCTGAAGCAATACACCCGTGTCAGCTTCCTGGAGTGTTAGGATTACAGGTGTGAGCCATTGTACATGGTCTTTTCTTGGAGATGGAATCTTGCTATGTTGCCTAGGCTGGTCTCAAATTCCTGAACTCAAGTGATCCTTTTGCCTCAGTCTCCTGAGTAACTGGGACTACATATTCAAACGTTTACATAGCCAAGTTAAGTGAATTAAGAAGTAATATTTCCTCCTAATTTAGGAGGAAGCATGTCTATTCTTACTTGTGAATCCTTAAAAATATAACTAATTTAGTTGTCCTCCTAATATCTGCCTATCTCTGCTATTGAGGTAAACAAATTATCAGGATAATTAGGAAAAAGAGAGGGGTGTTTTTGCCTTAATCAACTTGGTTTATGAGTCAACCTCACTATGATAACATAGAAATTATGAGTTTTAGTTCTCAGAGGTCCTTCAAGAACAGACTTTAGTGGTTGCAGGTGGTTGACATTAGGGACTGGAAAATTTTTTCCTAAAAAGGCCATATAGTAAATATTTTAGGCTTTACAGGCCAAACACTTTCTTTTCCAAGTACTCAACTCTTGCCTTGTATGTGAAAGCAGCCACAGAGAATATGTAAATAATGAGTCATTGCTGTGTTTCAGTAAAACTTTGCTTACAAAACCAGATGACCAAACCCCTGCCTCCTTTGCTTTCAGCATTACCTTAGGAGCTACTTTAGAAATTTGTAGGTGTGATTTTGGACGGTTAAATTGTGTTCATATGTTGGAGGGTACTATTAGCATGCAGTGGGTAAGGTACATAGCCTCACAGGTATGCTACAAATTCTGGGGAACAGTCATCCCTACCCTGTGTGATATTCTAATAGCTTGACCAAATTAATATATGTAAAAAAAATTGTTTATATTTATATGTCTAAAACCTGTTTTACATATAAAGACAAGTTCTTTTTTTGAAGTTTTAATATACACTAATATTCTAAAAATACAACTAATAGCCAGGCACAGTGGCTCATGCCTGTAATCCCAGCACTTGGGAGACTGAGGCAAGTGAATTACCTGAGCTTACGAATTCCAGACCAGCCTAAGAGTGGGACTCCAACTCTAAAAAATAGTCAGGTGTTGTGGTGGGAGCCTATAGTCCCAGCTACTCAGGAGGGTAAGGCCAGAGAATTGCTTAAACCCAGGAGTTTGAGGTTGCTGTGAGCTATGACGCTACAGTACTCTACTGATGGCGACAAAGTGAGACTATGTCTCAATAAATAAATAAAAATACAACTAATGTGTAAACTGATGGAAGACTGTAACTGCTTAATTTGGAATTTTGCCAAATCATGAATAATTGTTGGAAAAGTCATATTACCAAGAGAAATGCTACCCATGATATCTGAGCCTTCAGTTCTGTCTCAGTTTGGGGACTATTATATTTGAAGTGATTTTATACAGCCATGCAAACATACTGACACTCCACTGTCTTCTAGTATAGTCAAGGCTTGAGCATTTATATGCTGAACATACATTCTTTTTATTATTATGTGCCACTTCTCTTATGCGTCATGGGGCATTATATTCACTTTTATAAAAGTAGGCAGGTTATACTTATACAGGCAATGTTACACCACTATCTGTAATAAAACAGAGATGCTACATCGAAGTGGTGAGAAGATCTGGCCTAGATATCCGATAGTGGCAGACATCAGATTATCTCTTCAAAATGGTCTAGTCCTATATAATGGAAGGAAACATTTGGGACAACTTCACATGGGAAGTGATTACCTTTTAAACACAGAAATTCATAAATTCTGCACAGAAAAGGCTTCTCTACTTTTATCAATTGCCAGGTTTGAGAAATTCCATTTCAGGAAGAGATATAATGTAAACTTCAATTCAATTCACCAGTTAAATTCTATTTAGTAATAGCAATTTTTTTTTTTTTTTTTTTGGACAGAGTCTCACTCTCTCACCCAGCCTGGAGTAGCAATGGCATGATCATAGCTCACTGCAGCCTCAAACTCCCGGGCTCAAGTGATCTTCTCACCTCAGCCTCCTAAGTAGCTAGGACTATAGGCATGTATCACTAATTTTTTTTATCTTTTGTAGAGATGGGTCTCTCACTATGTTGCATGGGGTAGTTTCGTACTTTTAGTCTCAAGTGATTCTTCTGCCTCAGAGCCTCGCCAAGTGCTGGGATTAAAGGCATGATCCACCATACCCAGTTCTATTTTATATTTAGAGGACTGGCATTTTCAATCTTAGAAAAACATAATCCTAAATGTTCCCTTTTAAGTATTACATCAAGTCCACATCCAAATAGAAAATCCAAAATTCGAGCCGACCTAGGGACGCCGAAACAAATGAAAAACAACAAAAAATAGAAAATCCAAGGAAATTCAATTTTCACAAATACATTGATATTTGTCAAAGAACTATTATGAGAATGAAGTGAGACAATGTTCAGCAATTGGCAATGGGCAATATGAATATATTAACAGGTAATTATGTAACAGTAGATATTATATAAAATAATAGATACTATATAACATATAATACAAATATAGTTATTACTAAGAAAGCTCCACAAATACTAAGGTGCTTATACCTATTACAGATAAATTTTGTATTTGTAATCTGACCTTATTTATCAAACAGAAAACTACCTGAAATACATCTTACCAAAGAGAAGGATAAAACTAATCACATTCCTCCAACTGTTCACCATTTGTAAAACCAACCATTATGCTGTCTGTAAGTGGGGGGACGTAAGTGATCAACAAAGCTAGCACTACAACAGCCGAGGGTACAGCCAACTCAGGACAGGACAGGATATGCAAGAGTCTCTCAATCCCTGATACTGATGCCATTTGTGCTACAGACTCTTAGGTTGGGGCAGATCTGATAATTTGTCTCCAAAGTCTTTAAAATGATATGAATTAAAACATGCTCAAAAAACACCATCTTAATACAGAAGGGTTGCTAGAGTACTTAGTACCACTCATAGAAGGGCTAATCTAAAATCACTAAGGTAAAAAATTTAATTTCAGATCCAGATGTATGACTAGGCTGTAAACTCCTTGAAGATAAGAATTCTTTTACATTATACTGATTATTTATGAATCCCAAGTTTCTAGAGTGAGGGGCACAAAAATACGTTCTCAAATATTTGTTGAATATACTCTAAAAAATACACATATAAGAATGAATTGATATGTCAGAAGGTATTTTCAAAGGATGTGGCAAATTAAAAGTAAACTGGAGAGATTCTGAAAATATGACACACTAAAAAGCAAATGTTTCATTGTCGATGCTCACATAGCTTTAGGTTTCCTTATAAATTTAGGCTATATTGCCCAACAGAAAGACGTGCCAACTACCTGTAATCTGCTCCCAGGGAGGCTGCAATCTCATTTAGTTCACTCTGCTTCTTACTGAGTTTCTTACTAACACATACCACTACCTTCTGGAGTGGCTTTGGAGCTTCTTCCTGTCCATGAAAAATAAAAGAAACAGATCAATGATTATTATATAAAATGTTTTATCTAATGCCTCCTTTTAATAAGAGAACTAATCCTACCTTCTCTGACTGGGCATCCTTCAGTTGAGGGCTAGCAGAAACAGCAACAGCATTTCGAGAGCTATTTGCCAAAGCAAGCTTCAAGTTTTGGATAATGACTTCTGAGAGGGGGGTACTGAGTTTCCTTTTCTGCTGGCGAGGACCTCTTGGGGTTTCCAAGGCTGCAAGTGCATCCTATATTTAGGGAGGGGAGGGAAAGACAGGGAGGAAGGAGGAGAGAAAGAAAAGGGAGGAGAGAGAAGGTAAGAGGGGTCAAGAGGATAGAAAAGAAAAAAAGGAGAGGGGGTAAAAAGAGAGAAGGGGATAACCTTCAAAATCAACGGATTATAGTTTAACTCTGGTTTTCCTCCAAACAACAAAAAAGACCAAACTATCATTTATATCTATATACTATGAAGAAAAAAATTCCATACTATCCAGCATATTGGCTCACAGAGAGTAATAAGCATACATTTTCAGCAGTACTTGCCATATTTCTCTGACTCTTAGAAGTTCCAAAGGAAAAAAACACCAAAGAAAACAAGTAAGCAAAAATGGATATAAGCAGGATATGAATTATAAGGTTAAAAAGTCCAAATGAGCTGAGAATTGTGGAAAAAACCTACAAAAATACAAAATACATTCCTGTGCCTAAATCATCCACAGTTCCCTCCTGAAAGGTGGCTCCTGTTGTCCAAGTGGCTTGTTTATTCTCTTTTGCATATTATTCTGTGTATATGTATCAGAATGTATTTAACCTGGGATATACTGGTAAGTATTTAGGTTAATAACCTTTTGCTAGTATAATGATATAACAGATAACCTTGTACACGTACCAGATTATACATACAAGAGTAAGCGGAACTTTATGAGCCAAATATATTAAAATCAACCATTTTGATATTCTCATCAGCAAAGTATGAGAGTGTGTGTTTCCAAACATGTTTGACTGCATAGTAGGCAATCTGATTTTTCTTTTTTTGTCTATCTGATTGTCTAAAAAATTATCTATATGCTTTAATTTCTCATTCTCTTAAACTGAATGAGCTTACATCTTTATATAATTTTTTTATTTGTATCTAATTTTTTGTGACAACTATCTGTTCCTATCTTTTGCCCATTTTTCCAATAGATCCCTTGTCTTTTGAATATTCACTTGTATGAATGTATTTTTATATTCATGTATATGAATCTGTATGTACATATATCCACTGTGATCTAATATCTGCATATTTGTTCCTAAACATCTGTTAAAGTGAAACTTTGCCATGGATAATTTTTTAATGCTACTAAATTTATAAATCTTTAATTTCTTTGGGGGTGTATGTTACAGTTTGAAAGGCCTCCCCCACATGGAAATTATTTAAAACAAACTTACGAGCTATTTTGGAATTTTTATGGCTTCCTTTCTTGTGTTTGAATATCTGATCATCTAAACTTTATTCTGATGGAAAGTGTGAGCTTTAATCTCAAATGTACTCTCAGATAGCTAACTAGTTTTATGATCTGAATGACACTTTTGTCACATAAAATTCCTCTTTCTAAGGAGTATATTCTTTTGCACTGATTTGATTACTAAGTGACAATAACAAGCTATCTTACAACTGGTGGGGATAGCGCCTACCCTCAATTATTCTTTTCTTTTTTTCTTTATTTTTTGACACAGTGTCTTACTCTGTTTCCCAGGCTAAATGCCATGGCAGTCTACATTTTGCACTAGAAAACTTAGCCTTAGCCTCTCAAGTAGCTGGGACTACAGGCATTGGCCACAACACCTGGCTAATTTTTCTATTTTTAGCAGAGACAGGGTCTTGCTCTTCTCGCTCAGGTTGGTTTAGAACTACTGAGCTCAAAAGATCCTCCCACCACAGCCTCTGGGATTACAGTTGTGAGCCACCGCACCACCTAAACAATGAAATTTTAAAATGTATTTTTGTTTTGTTTTGAGATAGAGACTCACTATGTTGCCTTTGGTAGAGTACCATGGTGCCACAGCTCACAGCAACCTCAAGCTCCTGGGCTTAAGCGATTCTCTTGCCTCAGCCTCCCACGTAGCTGGGACTATAGGCCCCCACCACAATGCCCAGCTATTTTTGGTTGCAGTTATCATTGTTGTTTAGCTGGCCCAGGCTGGGTTCAAACCTGCCAGCCTCGTTGTATGTGGCTGGTACTATAACCAGTGTGCTACAGGCACCAAGCCCAAATTGTGTTTTTATTTTTTGAGCCAAGCCTTACTATGTCACCCTCAGTAGAGTGCCGTGGTGTCACAGCTCATAGCAACCTCAAATTCCTGGGCTTAAGCAATTCTCTTGCCTCAGCCTCCCAAATAGCTGGGACTACAGGCTCCCATCATAACACTCAGCTATTTCTAGTTGTAGTTGTCATTGTTTAGCTGGCCTGGGCTGGGTTTGAACCTGCCAACCTCCATGTATGTGACTGTCAGTCACTGTAACCACTGTTACGGGGCATGGAGCTCTAAAATGTATTTTTTTATACTGAGACTACTTCAGAAATATCAGCTTTCTACTGCAAAACTTATTGCAAAGTATGTAAAAGAATAGTCTGATTAGAGAAATATTTCCACTATTCTTTTTGCCTACTATCATTTCATTTATTGTTTAAAATGTCTGTGAGATATAAGACTTTGGAGATCATCTAGATTTACTCCATGTGTTATAGATGGGAATAATGAAGTCCAAGGAGGCTGATTAGCTTTTTAAGAGGCAATAGTTCCCAAGACAGTGATTTTCCTTTGTCTTACAGCAATAAGTACAGAGTGTTAATAACAACACAAAATGTTACTTCAAGAGATTTTCTTTTTTTTAATATGTGTATATATATATATATTTTATATAGGTAAAATATATACATTTTTATATATGTATATATACATATTTGGGGGTAGGTAAAGAAGGGTCATGTAAACCTTAACAGTCATCACATTACCCCAAATGAGCCTGACACTAACAAAAAGATAATAAATAACTCCTAGGGGCTAAGTGACAACATGGGTGCAGCAAGAAGGGAAAGGGCACACATTTAACTCTTAAATACATTTTGATATTCATTTGGCAGAGTTCAGGCCAACCCCAGGCTTCTGTACTTGCCAGACAAGTAAGCTGATGATACTCAAAGAAAAAAAATTAAAAAAAAAAAAAATTCCAGCAGAACTCCATACCACAGTTTTCCTTCAAGTCAAGTTGGCCGGCTGTTTCCCTGACCACCAGGAACAAAAACTTTGGCTCCAAGGCAAATGAGAAGAAAAACAGTATTTCCACTTACAACATAATACAGAAACTTCATCAAAGAAAGAAAACTATCAAAGAAGTCTACTTCCAGCAAAACTGAGGTAGCACTGCTTTCTCTGCATTCAATGCTTAAGTGGTTCTCAGTCCAATGTGTTCTTAAAAAAATGCTCACTTGACTAACAGGTGCAGCCATGTTGATGGACAAACTCAACATGAAATGCAATAGGTCAAAGGAGGAATGAGCAAGAAGTGAGGGAAATAAGGGATTTGGATAAATTAGCTTAAAAGAGGGTTGTCACCAGACTACAAATGCTCTTGGCTGGCCTTGGCACTCCAAGAGCTCTAATTCGCCTGGGAATTAATGCAATGTGGTTACAGTTAACACTGCTATTCAAATCTGTGTAAATCTTTAAAAATAATTATTACAACCTAAATTTAACCATGTAAACAGCACTACACACAGTACAGACCTGCCCTGAAAAACAATATGCAAAACTGAGATCTGGCACTGTATCATTTTGTACTGTTAATTCAACCTAACGGTCCCATCCCCCACCCTACCCTACACCCTCCCCCACCAAAAAAAATCTAATTTGTGCAAGAATGGCAGGCTTATTCTATCTGAAGGCTTCAAAAAAAGTTACACAACATGTAGCCAGGTTCAAATGTTTTGGGGGATCCCCCCCCAAAAAGAAATAACCAAAAAATGAAGAAAGTGCCTAAAACATGATACAGCATTTTAGAGCCCTTTCAGATACAAGGCAGAGAAAGGTGTAAAGTAGAAAATATCCGGATCTTCAGTAATTTCCAGAAAGGTCCAATTCCTCGGTTGGCTGCAGGACAGCAGGCAGATCCTTGCTGCTGCTCCTGGGACAGAGCCACTAAGTCTGCTCCTCGGGACACAAGCCCTCGGGCCCTGAGCTGAGTGCACCTCTCCCTTCCCCTTCTCTTTTCCTTCTCTCCATTTCCCACACCACAAAGGTATCAAAGAGACTTGGCCAGGCCTCATCGTCACTGTAGTTGCTGAGGTCGGGGCCAATCACCTGAGTGAAGTTAAGGAACATGTTCCAAGTGTCCTGGGAGATGCCCTTGATCTCCGAGGGGTTCTCTGTTAGGAAGTTTAGCCATTGGTCCAAAACTGGAGGATTGTTCTGCGTAAAGACTAGTTTCCACAGGGCAGTGGCTATTTCCCGATGCAGTGACTGCTGTCCTTCGTCAGAGTCCAGGCCAAACTGAAATGTAAACTGGTAGAGATCCTTGAATTTATCCTCTTGTTTGGCTTCTGTTAAGAGGCTAGGGAACCGTGCACAGATTCCGTCAATGCTGTCTGCACTTATTGCTTTGCAGCCATCAAAAAACTCCTTCCTGGTGAATTTGCACATGGTTGCAGCTGGAACTTCCAAGCCAAGAGCAGCACTCTAAATTCTGTGGGGTTGACACACAAGTCATTGCAAAAGCGCTCCATGCCCTCCTCCAAAATTGCATCCTCCCGCTCATCCTTGTAGCGCCTAAACAGTTCTTCCAATCTCTGTAAGGAGGACTCCTCAGCATTGGACTTGGACTCCCTCCCAGCATCTCCCGAGGATGTTGGCAGCTGGCAGGCTTCAGTGGTAGCCTCCACCTTCTTGGTCCCATTGAGGAGGATATCCCCACCCGGCTTGCCACAGGGTGGCACCTGCTCCTCACGGTGGCTTGCACCCCGCCTGCTGTGTGGCTTGCTGCTCGGGTCACGGTCTCCATTCTTGCTGCCCAGCGTCAATAAGGAATTCTTGCACTTGGTGACACACTGGCCCATGGTGCTGGTAGCCCAGCCTTTAGAGTGGCCCCCTCGGGATCGGAAGCCCTCGCTGCCACTGCCATTGACATGCCATCAATCAGAGGAGCCAGCCAACAGCAGCTCCAGAGGTTCCTCTAGTCAAACCTTTCTGGAAACGATGGCGGCCCAGCAGGTCCAAACCACCTACCATCCCCGCTAGTGTTTCCAGACTCTCTACCCCCGCTGCTGCCGCCTCTTCCACCACTGCCACCGCCTCCTCTTCATCTGCAGCCCGCCGGCGGCCACTTCAAGAGATTTTCATGTGAAATCTCAGAATTTTAAGTTCATTATAATATTAAAGATTTTCTTTTTTTTTTTGAGACAATGTCTTACTTTGTCACCCCTGGTAGAGTACTGTGACCTCAGACTCTCGGGGCTCAAGCAATTCTTTTGTCTCAGCCTCCTGAGTAGCTGGGACTACAGGCGCCTGCCACAATGCCCAGCTATTTTTTAGAGATGGGGTCTCACACTTGCTCAGGCTGGTCTTGAAACTGTGAGCTCAGGCATTCCACCTTCCTCGGCCTCCCAAGTGCTAGGATTACAGGCATGAGCTACCACACCTATCCCTAAAGACCTTTTTTCCCATGTGGGTCACGGAATTCTGACCAAAGATAAAAATTTAGTATGGACAAAATTATCCTGAATATCAATTAGTATTTACTTTTTAGAGATGAATATCCATAAACTTTAAAACTTTATAATAAGTCTGCTCCAAAACACATTAGTAAAAAGTATTAAAATGTTGCTTTTTTTTTTTTTCTTGAGACAGAGTCTCACTATGTTACCTTGGTAGAGGGCCTGGCGTCATGGCTCACAGCAACATCAAACTCTTGGGTTCAAGTGATTCTCTTGGCTCAGCCTCTCTAGTAGCTGGGATTACAGGCACCCACGACAAAGCCTGGCTGTTTTTAGAGATGAGTCTCACTCTGGCTCAGGCTGGTCTCAAACCAGTGAGCTCACGCAATCCATCAGCCTGGGCCTCCCAACGGCTAGGATTATAGGCATGAGCCACCTTCCCTAGCCCAAAATGTCACTTTTTTATACCCTATGAGCAAAACATCAATAGCTGAATGGCTACAATAATTTTGCAAAGATTCATGGAAGGTTACACTGGCCCTTGATTTGCAAATGAATTTTTTTGAAAGGGAGACATACTACAATTCTTAGGAGAACAATCCTAAAAATAAGGTGATAATATAGACATTTCCCAAAGCAAACCCCTGGTGCAGTCCTAGAATCAATATGTAAGTAGCAATGTACTTGTATTATTTTATAGTTTATAAAATGATTTCATCATACTATTTCAATTGATCCTTATAATAAATATATGAGTTTTCAGAGCTAAGCATTATTATCCTCTTTTATAATAGATCTAGGACTTGAATCCAGATGCCCAGATTTCATAGCATAAATGTCTATAGGTGTACCTTAACCCTGGGTATATACTGGGACTCAACACATATGGAACTCAATAATGTCTGAGAAATTTTTTTTTTTTTTTTTAGATAGTAACTCACTGTATAGTCCAGGCTGGAGTACAGTGGGGTCATCACAGCTCACTGCAGCCTCAAACTCCTGTGCTCAAGGGACCCTCCTGCCTCAGCCTCCCAAGTAGCTGAGTAGCTGGGACCATAGGCATGCACCACTGCACACAGCTAATTACAAATTTTTTGTAGAGTCAGAGACTCACTGTGTTGCCCAGGGTGATCTCAAACTCCTGGCCTCAAGCAATCTGCCTCAGTCTCACAAAGTGTTCGGATAGGTGTGAGCCACCATACCTTGCCTTTTGGAAAATTTATTACCGTTCTTCAGTGGTGACAGATTTGGAGCTTTAACTTCAGAAACTAGAAAATTGCTAACACTGGGACCATTTCCTATCAACCTTACCTTCACATCAAAAGAAGGCTTGAAGAGCTTATCCTTGGACAGAAATTTTGATGGTGTATCCAGGTGTAATGAAGGCTCTTTCTGAAGTGGCTGTCCTACTGCTGGGGAAGCTGAAACCTGTTTGGCATGTTGTGAGACCACAGCATGAAAAGCTTTACTCTGAAAGCGGTTCATATCTAATGGTGTAACAGCCGTTTTTCTCTGAGTTTCCAGGTGTACACCAGGATTCTCTGGAATATCTGGATTTAAATTCATCCCATTTTCTATTTCAGTTTCCAAACTTTGTTCTGGAGATTTAAAATGAAAAGAAACAAAAATGAGCCACTAATGTCCACTTTTTTCCCTGTACACAAGAAACCATGTCTTATATCTTGTTAGTTTTCATGTTAATTTTCAGGTATCTGTAAACCACAAAGTTACATACCTACCCTCTTTTTTTTTTTTGAGACAGAGCCTTAAGCTATCCCCTTGGGTAGAGTGTCGTGGCATCACAGCTCACAGCAACCTGCAACTCCTGGGCTCAAGTGAGTCTCCTGCCTCAGCCTCCCAAGTAGCTGGGACCACAGGCGCCCGCCACAACACCCGGTTATTTTTTTTTGGTTGCAGCTGTCATTGTTGTTTTGGCGGCCCGGGCTGGATTCGAACCCGCCACCTTCATTGTATGTGGCTAGCGCTTTAACCACTTGAGCCACAGGCACCGAGCCACGTACTTACTTTCTAAGCAGCAAATCAGATGATGTATTATAACATGTGTTAAGTTAGACCAGCACATTAACTGAAATAAGTAATAAAAATAGAGAGCTGGACGTGTGGGCTCACAGCTGTAATCCTAGTACTCTGGGAGGCCAAGGCCGGTGGATTGCTGGAGCTCGGGTGTTCAGGAGTAGCCTGAGCTTAATGAGGCCCCATCTCTAATAAGAGGCTCCTATTTCACATTTTAACACCTTAAAATGGTCTCAATAAACCTATTTGTCAAAAATTATATCAGTGAATATCACCCTAGACAATGGCAGTGTAAAAAGAAAATTGCAATTACATGTACTCAGAGCTAACTACAGTCAAGTTTTTGTAAATTCCTTGGTGGAATTTCAATATAAAGTAAACATCACTTTTGTCTCTGTCATAAAATTTCCAGTCTGTCTGGCCAAAAATGTAATGGCTCTTAGAAGTGATTCTGAATTGCTGATTTGTCTCTGAAGTTTGCCCAGAGATGTCATCATTTTACAAGAAGCTGCTGTGTTCCTTCACCTCTCCTTCTATCTTTTTTCAACATTTAACAAAAAGATTTATTACAAGGCTACTTCATGCTGGACCCAGTGCTAGACACTAGAGATATACAATTCACAAGATATGCATGTTCCCTGCCTTTCTGGAGCTTATTGTTTAGCAGAGAGACACAAAAGTAAACCATCATTATAACCTTGGTGTAAGAGATATAAAAAGGATAATGCAGAGTGTTATGGTGGAACAAAATGTTATGGCATGTAAAGGCGATACCTGGTGAGTCCAGGATGGCTGCCCAGGGAAAGTGACATCTTAGCTGAGAATAGAAAGATAAGGGGAAAGAGCAGGCAAGTTTGAGGTGGTTTAGACTAAAAATGCAAAGGCCCAAAGATGACAGAGAGAGAGAACACTAATCACATGGTGCGTCAGTGAGAGCCACAGAAGCAATCAACAGTAAACAGGATTTCACCTCATGCACTTATACTGCAAACACTGAGACCCTAGAATGTGCCTGCTATTCTTCTTTTACTGTCTAGCTTTCATCTTTTACATTTAACTGGCTTTCAAAGAATGCCTACACTTGATAGTATAGATACAAATTAAACATTTTTGCTATGAACACACATGTACTTTAGCATTCAATAACAAAGGCCCAATAGTGGCTCACTGCACCCAACATGAAAAGCAGAAATCAATGACATTTCCTAAAAAATTTTGGCACATTTATATTCCAGGAACCATCAAGTTGTAAAAAAAAAAAAAAAAAAAAAAAATATATATATATATATATATATGTACACACACACATATATATAAAAGAACAAAACAAAATTAACCTTTTTTAGGTGAATTTTCAATCAGAAATTGGCTTTCATCTGCTTTCTTTCCCATTTTAGCAGTCTCCAACAGCCAAGCTATAGTGACTGCAGGTAAATTCCACTTCTTTGAAGCTTCGTATTTAGAACCACATGGCTCTTTCAATACAAGATGTGTACTGGCAAACATTCCTTTTTTTGTATTGACTTTTCGGACAAAGAATTCTTGAACACTGAAATTTATATTTAAAGAAAAGCAAATGGTCACATATGTAATTAGCCAGCAAACTTAAAACAAAGTTTCTAATACAACATGTGGTTAGAGTTCATGAAAGTGTAAGAAAATATACACTGGTTAAAAGTTGGTTTATTCTACCCAAATTAAGCAAATCCCCTTTTATTCTAGGATAAAAATGTATTGTTATAATAAACTTATCAAAAAAGGTAAATCAGGCTTTCAGAGGATAGAAAAATTATCTCCTTAATTAGTTAATCACCCACCCAACTTGTCCTTTCCTTCCAAAAAGCATAGAATAACAGCAGCAAAATGTATAAATAACACATATATTTTTAATATACTATAACTTCCCAAAGCATTTTTACATATATTTTATAGGTGTAGGAAAAAAGAGAAAGAAATTAAGTGACTTACTCAAGATCACAGGATATTACATACAGGAATATGGGATAGAAAAAAAGAGGTCTGCTACTTGAAAACAGAATTCAGCCTCTTATGACTTCTTGGTTTTATGTTCTAGTTCCTGATTTTTAAGTCTTTTAATCTCCTATCTTTTTGTACTTTTAGTTTTGTTTTTTACATTTAACCCACTGATACATTTGGTACTTATTTTGGTTTGAGATAAAGTTGCAATTTTATCAAATCCTATTTTTTGAATGAGCCATCTATTTTCTCAACAACTTGAAATGTCACTTTTATACTAAACTAAATTCCTCTTTGTATTTAGGCCTATTGCTACACTTGCTGTTCATCCAACTCTCTGCTACATACAGACAACTATTTTAAATTGTACTTGAACTTTATGGATACCCTGCATAACTATGCTGTTATTTAGTGAATTTTCACAAAATCTATTTTTTTTTTTTTTAGGACATGTTAAAATTTGCTTTAATACTTCTTAGGGGAAAAAATATCACACTTTTAGTGAATGAACAAGAAACATTTTTTCAGTAGCAGTAGGCTATTATTTTTATCTTCCATGCCATGAATTCATAGGGAAGAGGTTCCAGTAGCTCAGGTAGGCACCCTAACACTGAATGTGACAAGGCATTGACTGACTTTTGAATTCATGGGAAATAGGTTCCAGAACCTTGTATCACTGTTACATGAGATCTATTGGTTATCCTGTGTGCTATGCTGAACACCTATTATGCCATGAGTTCATGTGTGCTATGTTATGTGCTTATTATGCCATGAATTCACAGGGAATGGGTTCCAGGAGCTCAGGCTCCTTTCCACTGGTTCTCACAGAGTAGGCTTCTCTGAGTGGAGCAGGCTGGCGCTTCAGTTGAACCCAGGTACCTTTCTCTTTGGCTTCCTTCTTTTTCTGATCATTTTTCTTCACACATTGATCATTTTCCTTCACGCATTTCAGGAAGCTCTCTTGGGTCTTAGAGTGCTTACTATGCTCAATACAGACATTAATCCTCTTGGCAAGAATCTTGCCCTTAACCTGTTTACAACAATGCCAACAGCATGCTGGGTAACACTGTAGACTCTTCCAGTTTTGCCATGCTAACATTTGTGTGGCATGCCTTTTTGAACAGTACCCCTTCCCTTGGTGTCTATAATATCACCTTTCTTGTAGATTCGCATGTATGTGGCCAAAGGAACAACTCCGTGTTTTCTAAAAGGCCTAGAGAACATGTATCGGTGCCTTTCCATTCTCCCTTTGTGTCTGTCATTTTGGTGAATTACTGAAAGATGGTGTCTCTGGCAGAAAGCCACAAAATCTATTTTACTAACTGTTAAGGCTATTCTCACTTACCTTATTTCAAAATTTTCATGATTTTCCTGTTTACTCATAGTTTCATATAGTTTTTAAAATAAATTTGCTTAGTACCCCTCCTAAAAGATTTTTGTTGGTATTTCTATTTGAATTATGTTAAATTCATACATTAACAAAGGAAACCTTTTTTTTGAGACATAGTATCACTTTGTGACCCTCAGTAGAGTGCCATGGTGTCATAGCACACAGCAACCTCAAATTCTTGGGCTCAAGCAATTCTCTTGCCTCACCCTCCCAAGTAGCTGGGACTACAGGCATTTGCAACAACACCTGGCTATTTTTAGAGCTCTTGCTCAGACTGGTCTAGAACAATGAGAGCTCAGACAATCCACCCACCTTGGGCCTCCCAGAGTGCTAGGATTACAGGAGTGAGCCACCATGCCTGGCCTCAAAGGAAACTTAGGAAACTTCTTTATAGTTATTAGTCTTCTTTTCCAAGAATATACCAATCGTTTCTACTGTTCAAATCTTACTTTGTTCCCTCAACAGCATTTTACAAGTTTTCTGTAGTTCTTCAAAGTTTCATATTAAACTTCCTTTGTTTCCAATTAGCTCTTTTAACTAACAACTTATTTATACATAGGAAGGTCACTGATTTCCACATATTAATTTTCTGCACAGGCACTTGACCGAATTTTCTCTTAGCACTGCTTTAGCTGTATCCAACAGAGTCTATTGTCATGTCTGTTGTTTTCCATAACTACAGTTAAAAAAAATCCTTGTTTAATATAATTCAAATATAAAACACAGCAAAAAGGGAAATACGCAGCTTAATGAATTATGAGGTGAAAAACCTTATATCTACCACCCATGTCAGTAGATAGAAAGAATCTTGCCTGCTGCCCCAGAATCACTCCAACATGCCATACAATCCCCCTTCCCTCCCCTCTTAATAGTAGCCACTAGATCAGCAGTTCTCAACCTGTGAGTCACAACCACTTTGGGGGTCAAACAACCCCTTCACAGGGGTCACCTAATATCATCACATACACCTCATACAAATACAGGTGTACAAAAATAATTTTATGGTTGGGGGTCACCACAACATGAGGAACTGTATTAAAGGGTCGCGGTATTAGGAAGGTTGAGAACCATTGCATTAAATGGACATTTATGGTAATCACTTCTTTACCCTTCTTTAATCACCCAACAAATCCTTAAAGACTATATTTAGTTTTGTTTGTCTTTTAACTTATAGGTTCCCCTTTCTCTCTCTACCCCCTTAATACGTATTTGTTATCTAGATTACACCAGTTATCTGGATTTTGCTGATTATACTACCATAGTATAGTTTAACATTTACTTTCCTGTCTATATTTCGTACAAATTGGTAGCTGGATTGAGATGCATTGTCAGATTGAGCTTTGATTATTTCAGCAAGACAGAGTGGTGGTGTATTCCTTATCAGGAGGTATATTAATGTCTTACTCTTTACTGTGAGATTAACTATTGATGTACATGCCTAGATTCTTTTATTCATTAGGAGATACAATCCTATCATTTCTTATTTGTTGGAATACCTCAAGGACAACTTTGCCTTACACACTATTATGTTACCCTGATGCAGATTGTATAGGAAACACAAGATAAGTACCTAATCTTTTCCCTTCGCCAGGGAAAATAATGGGTTGATTCCCTAGTATCTTGCATAGGTGATCAGTTACCTTTGATTGGTATCACTATGAAGTCACGATTTAAGCGGTATTTGATGTGTTTGGATACAGTGCAGTAATGGATACTTAAGTTTTCCTGTTTTGAGCCAGTGGAGATACTTTTGGCACAACCAACCCTCCTCAGCAGTCTTTGATAATGTCCTTGCTATGTGGTCTGACAAAACATCCCAGACTTACCAGTATATTTTCTCCCCCAGATCTAGAACTAACCATTTCTTTAAGCTTCAGGGTTTTTTTAGTGGGAAATGGTTATTTTTAGATTACAATCATCCATATGCATACAGAAGCATATAATGCTTAGATAAATACTATTCAATAATGGCCCAGGTATTAGCATTAAATATTCCCTTTCAGGCTGAGTGCGGTGACTCATGCCTGTAATCCTAGCACTCTGGGAGACCGAGGTAGGTGGACTGCCTGAGTTTACAAGTTGAAGACCAGCCTGAGCCAGAGCAATACCTCATCTCTAAAAACAGCCAGGCATTGTGGTAGATGCCTGTAGTCCCAGCTTCTTGGGAGGCTAAAGCAAGAGAATTGCTTAAACCCAAGAGTCTGAGGTTGCTGTGAGCTGTGACGCCATGGCATTC